TGTAGGGGTGACATGCTATTACCTTTTATGTTTAATCTGAACAAAAAAATAGGTGTAGTGGGTATCAGTGGCCACCCAGCTACGCAGAGGGTGCTCTCTGAAAAAGACTGTTTATTTGCATGGGGGGTGGCCTGGGAATCCTCCATGGGGATCTCTAGGAAGCTTTCATGGAGGTACTCTGCAATCCTTTGCAGAAGGTTTCTGGGAAGGGCTGCCTTATTTCATCCACCATGGTAGGACACTTTCCTGCACCACTCCAGTATTAACTCTGCTGGCATCATTGCAGCACACAGCATTGCAGCATAAGGACCAGGTCTGTACCCAGACCACTTGCAGAATCTGCTCCCTTGCTGCCTCTGTTACCCTCGGGAGAGTGATGTTGCATAGGGTCACCTAGGGGGAAATGGGGGAAGTTTTCAATGCTAGCCTTTAAACTGCAAACAATTCAACAAGTAATCCATCTGTAATCCAATCCAAAAAGTAATCCCCGTCTGGTAACATCTGGGTCAAACACCCATGCTTTCCCAAATGTGCCGTGGTTGTGCCTGCTGTTGGAAGGGATCACCATGTATTGCAAGGAGCACTGGAACAAATGGGGGTGTGGGGGGTGGCGGCTTCCTGTTTGTCTCCCTTCCTCCACGACCCAGTGTTGCTTTTGTAAAAACCAAATTATTTGGGGGGGCTTTACACTGGTGCCTGTCCACAAGCACCATCCAGGTTGCTAGGGGAAAGGGAGCTTTTCTCAAGTTCCAACCTGTGATCCTAAGGATGTCTTCACAAAAGCAGCAGGACAAGACCTCTGGCCTATGCCTTGTGGCCTTACTCACCATGGCTGGAGCAGCAAACCGACTCTTGTAGTAGCCACAGGTTGTGATTACATTGTGGCTTGCAGTGAAGTGTATTGAGGGATGTTTTTTATAAAAAAATAAAATAAAAAATAACCCTGCACCAGAAACAATGTATGCACTGTTAATGTTACCCTTGTGCTTTGCATTCCTTGCAGCTGAAACCTGGTCTGTCGGTGCATCCTCCACACCAGGACATTGACGTCCCCAGATTAGAAAGTGGAAAAAGATGACTCGGGAGGACATGTTCAGTGAGTTAATGTGCGCCCTCGAGAGTGACAAGACGGAGCTCAGAGCATGGAGGATCACACTGTCCAAGAACCTGGACATGGACAGGAGATCATGCAGGGAACAAGAGCGTGTCATGCAGGAAGAGATGCTGTGGATTATGAAGGAGCAATCAGACATGTTGAGGCATCTGGCTGAGGTTCAAGAAAGGCAGCTGGACTCTAGAGTTCCTCTGCAGCCTTTGCTGAACCTGCTGCCATCATCACCCAGTTCTACATCCTCCTCTCCGACATGTCCTATGAGGTGGGAGAAAGCGGGAAGCTCGACATCCCTTGCACTCAACACCAGGGGAGGGTACTAGGACCAGAAGGCGCCCATTCCCACACCTCTGATTGTTATTGCAGTACATATGTAAGCAAGCTTTCTTTGTTTCTCCCCCCAGAGTGTTATTAGCCCTTTTGCCCCAGGTTATCTTACTTTTCTTTGCTGTCTCTGTGTGTTTGTGTGCATAATAAAACTTAATGGATTGAGGAGAAAAGGCTCTTTATCCATTAAACACATGGTGGTTGGTGGAGGTGGCGCTTACAGGGGAGAAAATGCATTGAAGGGAACAGTTTGGTAAGGAACAACACAATGTCACATTACTCTGACTCATTGCTGAAACTAGTTTTCAAAGCCCCACAAAGACGCAGAGCCCCTCGATGTTCTTTTCTTATTACCCTGGTGTCTGGTTTCTCAAAACTGGCTGCCAGGTGATCTGCCTTAACCCCCCCACCACAGCGGAAACTTTTCTCCCTTTGTTTCACAGATATTATGGCGCACACAGCAGGCAGTAATAACAATGGGGATATTGCTTTCACTGAGGTCTAACCTAGTAAGCAAACAGCACCAGCGACCTTTTAAACATCCATAGGTACATTCCACCACTATTCTGTACTTGCTTAGCCTATGGTTGAACTGGTCCTCACTGCTGACCAAGCTGCCTGTGTGCGGCTTCATGAGCCACGAGAGCAAGGGGAAGGCTGGGTCTCCCAGGATCAGGATTAGCATTTCAACATCACCAATGATTATTTTGCAATCTGGAAAGAAAGTCCCTCTTTGACCCTTTCTGAATGGACCTGAGTTCCTAAAGACGTGTGCGTCATGCACCTTTCTCAACCATCCTATGTTGATGTCAGTGAAACAGCCCCTGTGATCCACCAGTGCTTGCGATACCATTGAGAAGTACCCCTTTTGGTTATGTACTCTTTGGCAAGGTGGTCTGGTGCCAAGATAGGGATTTGTGTTCTATTGCTCCACTGCAGTTAGGGAACCCCATTGTGGCAAAACCATTCACTATGTCCTGAATGTTGCCCAGAGTCACTACCCTTCTGAGCAGAAGTCTGTTAATGGCCTTGAAAACTTGGATCACAACAGATCGCACGGTAGATTTACCCACTCCAAATTGATGCCCCACTGACCGGTAGCAGTCTGACATTGCAAGTTTCCACAGAGCGATCGCCACTCACTTCTCCACCGTCAGAGCAGCTCTCATTTCAGTACTGCTGTGCTTCAGGGCTGGGGAAAGCTCTGCACACAGTTCCTGGAACGTGGCCTTATGCATCTGAAAGTTCTACAGCCACTGCTCATCATCCCAGAGCTGCATAATGATGTGGTCCCATCCCACCAGTCAGTGCTTGTTTCCCAGGCCCAAAAATGGCACTCAGCAGTGTCAAGGTGACGCATGACTATCACCAGCAACTGCAAATTGCTCTGCTCTATGTCTTCCAGCAGGGCTGCTTGTGTGGCATCATATGGTTCTGCACGGCAGCTCCTGGCTGTGTAAATACTGCAGGATAAGGTATGAGGTATTTGTAATGCTCACAACAACAGTGTATAGCTGAGCGGGGTCCATGCTTATTGTGCTATGGCACCCGTGCGGGTAACCCAGGCTTATGACAAAAGGCGTGAAAAAGGCTTGGTTTGTTTGCCATTGATTTCAGGGAGGGAGGGAGGTAAGTGCATCATGGGAGACTAACGCCATGTTTCCATAACCACACGCGCCAATGTTTTGGTCCTATAAGGCACTGCAAGCCCAACCCAAAATTCCACTCAGCTAGGTGCACTATGGGATGGCTACCCACAGTGCAGTGCTCCATGCTTCGATGCAAGCCCTGCTAGTGAGGATGCACTCCGCCGACACAATGAGTGGAGTGTGGACATGCAAGATTGACATTTGGAGGCTCAATGTCTACATGTAGTGTAGACATGGCCTATGTCAGCAGGAGAAGCCAACGTAAGTGGTAGTACAGAGAGAAGCCAACACAAGTGGTAGTTCAGATGTAGCCTCAGTAAAGTTTTTCTAATTATTAAAGTAGAGTAATACCTGGAGAGAATACAATATGTCCTTATATAAAGGATCTCTTATTAAGGTGAGAAACCGCTAATAGAGTGAAATCACTAGCATTGCTCTAGCATCCTGTCGGTGCCACTAACAAACTCACTTTTCAGCAGGAGAGGGACTGCTAGCTGAATACATTGCTAAGGCCCCAGTCTTGCAAACAGTCCCTGCAGGCAGACCCTTGCACCCATGTGAAGTCTCACGGACCTCAGTGGGACCCAGCCTGGATTGCCTGGCAGGATCAGGACACTTGAGGTTCAGCACCTTGCAGGAGCCTCAGCCCCAAGTTCGGGGTTGAAGGTGCCCAGCACTTCACAGGCACACTCAGCCTTCTGCAGGCATGAAGCCTGTATGAGCACAGTGAATTGTTGTTCAAAACAGAGTTAAGTGTGATAAAAAAGCAGCGTTGCCTCGTTAGTACATTATAGCAATGAAATTGACATTTACAGCGAGAAAGCAAACAGGTGACTCAGATAACCCAGGAAAGATGCTTTGGTATTACTTAAAATGGAAAAATAAAACTGGATTTCATATTTTTACATCATATAAAAACCAATGCATTTATAATAATAAAAGCCATATGGATGGAAATCTTCACTGGAATGAAAGTAGCTACTGGAGTATTAAATTACTGATTTGATGGCAAATGAGTCACAAAATCTTCTAAAAAAGAATAGCCATTTCCTGCCTAGCCTCTAGCTTATACTTACAAAATGATAATGTGGAAGTTCATCTTTTACAGTTATAGTCTGTTAGATGATGGCAATAAGTAAATACCTTAAATTAAAATATACTGTAGGGAAATACAGATAAAACCTACAAAAGTTACAGTAATACTGTTTGTGTGAGACATTAATATTTACTGATCATTTCTATAAGTACAGATTAGTTCATATTAACAAGCATAATAGCAGTGAAAAAGCGACAGTCTCACCATGGGGGGGACCAAGGCAGTCACTTTACATATAACTTAATGGGATAACATTGTCTAAAACCTATTTTAAAGAAAACATGACAGGTGTCTGTCACTCAGCAGTGCCTGTTACACTAAGAAACAGCTTCCTCTACGATGCAGTGGAATGAATAAAGTTCAGATGGTTCCTGTGCCTGGTTTACTGTGCTCAGCTGTGGCGGTAAAACCAATTCGTACTGTCAGGACATTTTCTGGTAACATTGCTTCAGGCTTCCTGACAATAGTAGCACCAAAGTATGGGTCAGAGTTTGCCTTTACTGTGAGTGAAATTCAGTCCTCCCACAAAGCCCGATGCCAGGTTTTACAAAATGGGAGCCTGAAGTCAGGCTGTCAGGCTCATAGCTAGCTTCCACTGAAATGGGGCAGCCAGTTCCGTCAAAACTCCCAGCACTACAGAATTTAGGAGCATAACTTTAGGGTCTCATTTTTTTAAAATAATCCTGATCTGAGTATTCAGGTGGAAAGAGGGACTAAGGGGAGATGAAATTCATCCCCTACAATCTACAGCCAGGGTGGAGGGCTGCTATGGGCTGGAGTAGCAGTAGCAGCCCTTTTGTGTTGGTTGATTGTGGTACCAGAGCCACCAGATCTGAACAAACATGGATTTGTGGGCCTTCCCTTGGTCTTGCTCTCAGATCACACTTGGCCCATCCCCAAAGTCATCTTCAGCCCCAGCCCCAGCCCCGCCTAGGCCAACATGGAGACCAGATCCACAGCACACCAGGGATTAACGGGCACATCTGCATGGTTGCTCAGCCTGCTGACTCCCCATGCAGCCTGCTGACTCCCCATACCAAAGGCCATCTGCCAGCCCTCTAAACCAGGCCTGAATTCCACCCTGCCGGAATATTCTGTCTTGAGGTATGCTCTCTTTGGTTTTATTTGTAAATGTGCAATAAAAAAATAGAATATTTACACCATTAAAATTAAATTTCAGTGTCAATGTTTTATGAAATAAAATTCAAATGTTTTCTACGTGCAACAGATGAATTATTTTCTTCGGATATCGGCTATGAAACTGTTTTCAATGCACAGAACAATAAACTTATTGCTGCAGCTGAAAGGCTTTTGCTCCAGAAGTTTCCCAGAGGTCAGTGGTGATGCTTGTCCCATAACTGCCATGTCAGCTGTCCGCCAAGCTTCACAGTAGTTGCGAACTAGCCGGATCCCGTTTGCAGTTGACCCGTGCCATATGATTTTTTGTGGCCTAAACAGCAACGTTTAAAGTTATTTTCCTGAAACAATCCTTTATCTGTACATTAAATCTTATGCCTAAATCTTTAACAGCCTGTGTCTCTGCACCCCTGCTGTAAATTCACTTGAAGCAATCAGAGTGTAGAAAGCAAAGCGAGGCCAAAGATATGGATGGGAAGAGAGGAAATTGGGACATCAGAGGTATTCCATTCCCTCTTTTTCTCTCAAGAGGAGAGTGGGAATGGGAGAAGAGGGGAATAGAGGAGAAGGAACGGAAAGGATGAGAGGAGAAGGGGGCAGTTAACCTTTGTCACATTTCTAGCAGCCCAGGGAATTTTGATGCTTACCAGCTAATAAAACTACATTTCATGTAATACAGAAAATACAGTGTGAACTCACCAAGATGGATCTGTCATGACATTTCTTCCATCAAAGGAGTATATTGGAATCTGGATGTTGAACTGTCCCCCGCTGCCAGTAAACACAGACTCCCAGTTGTTGAAGAGTATTTCTCCCTGTTGAAATTTTAAACACCATCTTTTACCAAGGTTTTTATCATATTATGAAATGCTACAGGTAGTCTATAAATCCAAAATCTCTTCTACTTCTCAAAATACACATGATTAAGGCTAAGATTTTTTCATGGTTACGAACAGGTCACGGGCAGTAAACAAAAATTCACTGAGCCCGTGACTTGTCCGTGACTTTACTACAAATAACCAGGGGCAGGGCTAGGTAGAGGGAAGGAAGGGAGTCCCAGAGGGGGGACTGACAGGCTGACCCCCGACTTCAGAGGCTGCCGCAGGGGCCACACAGCCCCTGCTCCAGAGCTCTCCCAGCTGCGGGACAGGGGTGTGCAGCCCCCACAGGCTGGGGCACATGGCCCCATCTGCAGCCCCCACCAAGCCCCGGAGGACACAGCGATGGGGTGCATGGTCCCAGCTGCAGCTCCTGACCCCGGCTGCGGTCCCCCAGAGGAAGCAGGGAGCTGGGGCCGCATGGTCCTGGTTCCAGCCAGCACCAGTTGCAGGGCTTTGGCACAGTGTCCCTCCTCCTCGTCCTGATGCCCTAGATGTCATGGAGGTCTGGTAAAGTCACGGAATCCGTGACTGCCGTGACTGAATCGTAGCCTTACTCACGATGCCATCAGCATGATCTTTCATGCCAATCTCTACACTTTATTCCTAGGAGACCTCATTTCAAACTACCACCCTTATACCGCTAGCTCTCAGCTCTACCTCTCTGTCCCAGGCCTCTCTCTTTCCTTTCACAGTTGTCTCTGCCTGACTCACATTCCAACCCTTTTCCTTTATCATCGACACCTCTCCCGTCCTCCTTAGCTCACAATCTCAGAGTAACTTTCGACTCTTCTCTCTCCTTCACCAAATGTAAAGCTTCTTGTTTGAAAGGTCTTGTACACGTTAGTTCCTGCATACCTCCCCTCTCTGCTCTACTCTTTTTGCTACCCTCCTGCCTTGATCTCATGCTGAGTGCACCTGTGTCTGTGTCTGCAGGACAATCATTTTTCTTATAGCTGGAATGACTAAACTAGACAAGTGGAGTTAAAGAGCTGCAACTGTAGTAGGCAAAGTCAGAGGGGGGGATTAATTTCCCTCATCCCTGTGATGGTACAAAAGGTTATTTGAAAATTATCACATTCCTAATAAAATCTGACTTCTTCCTGAAGAGAAAGCTGAAAACAATTTGTAATGGTTAATGCAGATTCTGGTAAAACCAAAATTGTGCTAGGGTCATTACAACTGGTTAACTGTAATACAAGCTGATGGTATTTTTGAACTGCCTTTGAGTATTCATTTCTCATCCCAATCACAACAGGATCTATTTGTATTTTGGAGACGTCTCCTCCCAGAGTTCTGAATCGCATGGGGTTTCGGAATGGGACCCTCCAACCTTCTGAGAGCTGGGAGGTCAGGTATCACTCTTGCAAGTCACTTGGGCTGTTAGCTAGTGCTGGGAGCCAGACAGTATTTCAGAGCTGTGCTTTGGTGTGCGTGTGTATGTGTAAGATGCCACAAGATGACTCAGATTCTAGAAAAAGGGAGATTCTGCTCAGTTACCGTGGTATAAATCCAGTTTAACTATTGCTAAAGAGGTGAATATGGCCCACTATCACTAAAGATGGGACATGTGGTCACCTTAGTCTATTAAGCTCTGCAGGCAGACTAGAAAGCATAGGCTAGCATATGGCCTTGAGAAACAGACTCGCCTTGGGGGTAAGAATTCTAAGGCTGTTTCCAAAACAGGATTATTGAAAGAGAAACATCTAACAAGTTACATACTATACCATTGCCTTGGTATCAGTTCACTGTAAGCCAAACATTCTCATTGCTTTGTTTCTACCATTAGCCTTATAGTGTTGAAAAAGAAACTCTGAAGATGCAGCTGCTTATAGCCTAAGTGTGAGACATTGCATAGCTACGCTTATCATAAGGATACAGATGGGAAAAACGAGGCTTTTTCTTTATAAGACACTTTGACCAAACAGCTCAGAGCCAAGAAGCAAGCAAAAAAAAGTCTGTTACCTCAGTTAGTTTCCAAGATTTTTGGATCGCTGGAGACCACCTTTATACAGCAAATAAAGCATTTATTTTTACCTTAAGATTAACTATTGGTAGATTGTATCTGTCTGATTTTCTCACAACTGTAGACAGATCTTGCAAATGGGATGACAGGAAAGCTCTGTATGTTGACATTAAACCAGCTGCTCGGGCTTGTTGAAAGCATTGATAATCAGCTCGCATGGCACCAGAAAATGGCAAGTTCAAAGCCACCAAATGCAGCTGGAAAACAAGGAAAAACCCACACTGATTTCAGGTTTAAGTTATAACATCTATTAAGTAATTAATCCGCCTCCTCCCTGATAAGGAAAATGTGCCCTTGAGAAAAGCAGAAAGACAAATAGCTGAGCATAATAGTTAGTACATTACAAAGAAGACTATTTAGATTAACCTTTTGCGATGAAGGTATATTTGCCACCATTACATCACACTTCTTAAAGAAGTCATGTTCAGCTTGATGAGCCACAGGCCAGCCCACACTAGCAATATGTGATCTTCAAATAGTTAGACAACCATAAAATCATTTCAAAACCTAAAAACTTCATTTTTAAACAACAGTTAAGATTTGCTAAACACAGTTACTGTCACATTGTTTATAAAACCCAAACACTTACAAGGAAATAAATACAGTTAAGGACAAAGCCAAGCAATGGACACAAAAATTCATTGTAATCAACCACAAAGAAAAGCATTTTTTAATCACAGTATAAGAACCTGAACTCTGATCACGTTATTCTTTCAGATGCAGTAATTCTGTTATCTTGACTTTATCTAAATATTTAAACAATTTTTATAGAGGAAAGTTTAGATTCTGAAACACCCATTTAACAACTAACATCCACCAATAGTCCTCATGGCAAAAATAGGAACAGCTATGACTAAAATATGTTAAACATATTAATGTTAATAAAAATCAACATTAATGAACTTTAAACATAGCCTGTGCCCTAGATTTTGTTACAGTATAGAAGTGAGTCCATATTCATAGCTCAGAAATCAGGAATGTATTTGCTAGAGGACACGAAGAAAGGTTAGAATAACAAAAACAATTCTTAAAGAAGATATTTAAAATTTTTCATAGCTTCTAAACTAACTAGAAGACGTACTTGAAAATTCTCAGAGTAATTGCTATAAATTCAGAGGGGGTACATTTAAAAATTCAAACAAAGGTTTAATCCCGGCTTTAAGCCCAAATCTCAGGTATACAGCTGTAATAGTGCCTCTAATGTAATTCTTCTACTTACTGTTGGTTTTCCATGATTAATAGTTGAAACTGGTCTTAGTGCTGGAAGAGACTGAAATCCCTATTAGTTCAACATACAGAAATAAATCAGAGTTAAAATACAATGCTCAAATCATGGGAAAAAAAACAACTTTCTTACTCCAGCTTCTTGTTGGGAATATTGCAGAATTCTTTTGTAGTGAAATAAGAATTAACCCACATAGAATATGAAGTTATATAACTCTGAGTATAACATCCCCAAACTTTAAATCCAGACACACTAAGGTCCTGATTTAGAAAGTCACTCAAGCATGTACTTACATGCTGTCTTGAATAGGGATGCTTTCCTGAATGTGGGTCTACAATACTAACACTAATCTGCCTAAGACTACATCAATGCCAGAAGGCACTTGAATGTATGCACAGCAACAGACAGTGCTGAGTATGAAGACAACATGGTTGGGATGGATTAAAAATGAAAAACAGAGTGAGACAAGACAGAAAATCCAGCACACTAGAGGAGGTAGACCTCACTAGGCCTCAGCAGCCCTCCCATTCCCCAAACACATGGTTGTGGGAAGCAGAGAGGTAGGTCTAGCCAACCCCAGGAACAGCAGGTCTTCCCCAGGAGCCATGGGAGTAGCAGTGGTGGGGCAGAGAGAGCTCCAGCTGAGGACCACTCTTACCGAAAAATTTAACATGATCTGGAAAGTCTGCAGACTGCCTTTTACAATCTGAGCTCAGGACATTTTTCCCCATTTGCTGATTGGCTATTGGCTTCAACTTCCTCCCACCCCTCTTCCTCACAGTCCTTCTCCATTCTCCTTTCCTTCCTCTCCTGGCATGCTCTCTCATTCCATGCTTACCTTATAATTACACAATCAGCTAACATAAAAGATAAGAGGTGAGTCTATCAACAGCCTAATCACTCTCCTTGCACATTGTATCTCCCTCCTCCTCCCCTTTATTTTTGTCTATTTTACATTGTGGATTCTTTGGGCCAAGGATCACATCTTCCTGAATGTTTGTAAGATGCCCAGCACAATGGAGTGCTGTATAAATAAATAAGGCAGGTTTTAGAATAGGCCTAGGCAAATACCTTGGCCCACATTCACCAGTGACAATGTAAATGGTGGTATAAGTTACAGGTGGGGTGTAAATACAAGATTTCCATACCCTTACTCTCAGTAGCCAAGCCACTGATGATGATATGGTCCCAAGGTTCAGGACTTTAATCTACTTATGTACTCTGTTTCTTTGGAAGAAACTCTGGACTCAATAGGACTTATTTCAGTATTATAAAACAGAGCACTGACTTTTTGTACACTGCTTTGGAGAGGCTGTTTTATCTCTGCAGTGTGCAGAGCCTCATGAAATAACAGAAATATGCTGGCCAATGGCTAGTAAGAACGAATTAGGGAGCTGAACGTAGTGATGTGACAAATGCACAGAGCTGACAGGCCACCCACAGTAGAGAAAAATCCTGTTGAGAGGGAGCCTATCTGCAAAACATTTTCCCCATTTATAATATTTCAATGCAATTTTTCACAAGTCACAAACAGTTTTGCACTTACATAGCCTGAAATTGCCGGAGGTGGAGGGCTGTCAGCTGGGATGGGAATTAATTCCCCAAGCTGGAAGAACACAAAATGAAGAGACAAACAAAAACATATACATGAATGAATTATATTTTTTTAAACCGTGCCAAAAGATAATCTTAGTACCCACACTCTCCCCTTAAAGAATATTTACAACAAAACAATTGAAGGAGAAGAGCTGAAAAGCAGGCTACATGATGCAGTAATACCTGCAATCTTCTCCATCCTCCTCGAACACGGATAAACACCTCGCTACTTTCACTCAGGTAGATTAATGTACCTTCTGCCACTAAATGAACCTTTTGCAACATGCTGTCAATATTTCTGAATGTTGTAACCTGTCAAATAACAAGGAAACAGAATCAGAAATTGCAGATAAAATTAAGTCTTTCTTTGAACTGGAAATTAGCAGAAGTAGTCATAGAAATGAAAATAGACTTTCTGTACAGTAAATATTTATAAAGCCTGTATTAGCTCATTTCACCCAATTTTGTTTATGTGGCATCCACTTCTTTTGGCCCTTATCATGAAAAGTGGATCTGGACTGGTAGTTGCCTGTTACATTCATTGACTGCATCAACGATGAAGGAGTTTGGGGTTGGGTGTGAAAATAGGAACTCTGACCCCTTAGCAGGAACATAGTACTTCTTATCTGCTCTCTTGCAGGGAGGGGGTTATGGTAGCAGGAGTCTGCCAAATTTGCAGTTCAAACAGAGCCTTGTTTATAGGCAGGGCTATACTACCAGAGGAGGCAGTATGGAGGATGTCAATCAATCTGTGTTGAGTCTCCTGAACCTCCTCCAGTGGGATCTGGGGACAACCTGCAATTCTTCTCATGAGATCCAGAAATTGTTTTAAATCATCTGTGTATGGAGGAGGGAGAAGAGGCATCACTGCCTCATCAGGTGAGGAGAAGAGCTATTAGTCTAAAGCAAAGCTTCCTCAACAGCCCTTCTCTCCGGATACTCAAAAGATTCCTCCTGGGGAGGCAAATGACATGGAAAAGCTGAATGAGTAGGAGGGTGTTGCCCCTGACACTTCCTGTGAGTTTAGCAAGAAGCTCTGGAGAATTGTTCCCTATATGCAGCCCATACAACCCAGAATGACCAGTGGGGAGGTCCATATGGGGAGGGATGGGGCACCGATGAATACTCATACCAGGGGGAGCCTGGGGCATCCCGTGTACATCTGTGCCTTGAGGATTCCATTATAGAGGGTGTTGAGAGAGGCAGCTTTGGGCTGGTAATTGAGTGAACCTTGAACCGAAATCTGGGAGTCACAGGAGCTGCCCTCATTGTCGTCCAGATGGGGGAAGCTGGTGGAATTGAGACTGGGAGTCTGTCCATTCAAGAGGGTACCGGAGCGTGTGTCTGTGCCAGGGAATGGTGTGGTACCAGCAAGGTACCAAGCATCTTTCAGCACCCCTCAGTAGAGGTGTCTCTGGTGTGTCTGAAATGACCAAGTCCTTAGAGAATCTGAACTTCTGCAGTACCAGAAGAAGCTGTGCAGTTACCTAAATGGGCTTCAAAGCTGGAGGCAGGTGGCACTAAGAATGACCTCAATTTCAAGGGTACTGTCTGGCGCTGTGCAGTTTGGGGAACTACTGGCACTGCAGGAGTTATCAACACTGAAGTTGGTACTGGTCTAGTTGATGCAGAATGCTTAGAGTCTCCAGAGGTGCAATCCTGCTTGGATGGTATGAGTCTGGCTTAGATACTGAACACTGAGGGGTACTGTGAGTAGATACCTGCTACTTTCATAGAACCTATGGTACTGGGAGATCAAGGTGCCTCAACATTACACTTTTTAGGATGCGAGGTCTCCAAAGTGGCAGGTCTCGGAGGTGGGCTTCCTAGCACTGACTTCTCTGAGGGATCCAGAGCTCCTCTTTTGAGAAGTCTTACAGGTGTCCCCACAGACTTCTCCTGAGTGAGCTGCAGAGATTGATGGGACACTCCTTGTAGATCTAGTGTTGAACCAGAGCAAATCCTAGGAATGTCCTTTAAACAGTGGAGGTAGCTAGAGTGGCTGTCACTAACTGGGATAGACTTCTGGCAAGTTAGGCAGTGCTTATAACTTGGAGATCCACACATAACCCAAGGATGAAAAATAACTTCTTTTGAAGAAAGGAGTAATGTCTCAGGGAGGTGAGGTGGGAAAGATGAAAGGTCTCTCCAAAAGAAATCCCCACAAAACTAACCAAAATAAAACAAAGGATGCTAGATACCTAACTAATTACTAAACTAGAGGAAAATCTTGCTCTCAAGGCAGACTAGCAAAGAATTAAGCACTGCAAGATGCTCCATCTCAGGCTGAGGCCATTGAGAAGGAACGGTGGGTGGTTTGTCTATTGCTGTCCTATATACCCTCAGTACAGGGCATGAGGACAGCTGGGACGTGACTGAGCATTGTTATCAGAAGTCTCTGATCAAAGGTACAGGGGACACATGCACACCTAAAGTGGAGCACCTACAGGGACAATACATGAAGCTTTTGTCTTAGGAGCAAAGTCTGTTGAAAATATTGACCGGAATTACCGGGTTTTATTCTTCTTGGGTACCTAGTTTCCTTGGAAGAAGGACTGGACTCAGTATTATTTATTCTAATCACATAACATGTTGTCATTTTGCATACTCCTTCAGAGGTACTGATTTGTATCTGCAACATGCAGCACCTCCACTTATTTAGAATCCTATTCATCCTTTTGAATTATTTGCATAAGATGCTACTAATAAGCCACCAAACTGAGCTTTTTCTGAAAACTTATTATATAGAGAAGGGAAGTGATGCAGTAGTGGCCTTTTAATGGAGTGTTTCCATTGACATTCATGGGAATTGACTCATGCTCTGAAAATGGCAAACTTAAGTTTTCTTCTCTTACCAGGTTCCTGGTTCCTGGTAACCCTGGCTCCCCGGGAGGACCTGGTGGCCCTGGAACTGCAGCTGCTAAAATAAAACAAAAATATACTTCATGTCTCTTTTTTGAGAGAAAGAGCTTGAGAAGGTGAGAGGAAATACTTGATAATGTTGTGCAGGATAAAGGTTTTATTGGCATGAGTTTGTGACAACTACAGTACTCACATGCACCGACGTCCTGAGTGAGTGTGTTCTCACAAGCTACAGAAAATCTATTTGCAATGATTTTGGGACTATTTTTCTTGTATCCTTTCATCTGGATGGATAGTCATCTATGTCATCCTTTCTCTGATTGTGTGTTCCTGCAAGCTCTTCTGCACGTGTTTAACTTTAAGCATGAGACTAATATTTAAACCAGTGAGACTACTTCCATGCTTGAAGCTAAGCAGGTTTGTGTTTGCAGACTCAAGGACTCAGTTATCCTCTGTACAATCTGCAAGGGATCATAAAATCCCCTAAAAATAACCTAAAATAACTTTTCTTTATAAAAAAGGTTCACAGCTTCAAGGTCACCTATCTCATTACTTTTAATGTTTAGAAGAAACTGGTACCACCTATGGGAGAGCTGGGAATCTCTTTTACAATGATATGAACCTTCATTTCTAATATTGTTGGGTTGTGAGAAGTCTTAAACTTGTCACTATTCCAGAACTGAGATTTGTTCACCCTGAGCCTTGGGCCAGTGTATTTTGGAGTGACAATTCCACATGTAGGAGAGAAAGGAGGAAATATTTCTCTGGCAGGTTGATCATATATTAGTGGTTGTTTGAAGTTGCTCAGAGATTTGGAAGGCTACAAATAATCCCTGCGGGCTGTGTGTCACTGGTTCCCAGTGGGAGCTCAAGGCAGCTCCATCCACTGAAGCTGAGATGAAGGTGTCTGAACTGGAGAATCCATGATCTAGGATGGTCACAAACCACAGTATTAAAAAGATCCTATAGTCAGAGGTAGGAGCCTCCTTGGAAAGGATAAAACAAGTGAGAGAGAAAGGACAAAGAAAGGTTGAGGGGGACCAAGGGAGAGCATGTTAGGGGTGATGTGGGGAGGGAAAAGTGGGGAGGATAAGTGGTGTAGTGGGGAGCACAATTATGCGGAGGGATGGAATGAGGTGGGAAGGAGTAACTTTTATAGTCAAGGGACAGTTTTCCAGATTAATCTGAGTGTCTGGAAGCCTGGCACTCCCAGGCACTCTGGTGACAATTTCACTTATTTCAGAGGAACAGCCGTGTTAGTCTGTATTCGCAAAAAGAAAAGGAGTACTTGTTGCACCTTAGAGACTAAGGTTAGTCTCTAAGGTGCCACAAGTACTCCTTTTCTTTTTGCGAATTTCACTTATGTTCTCAGCACTTCTCAGAATGCATACAAAGACCAGCAGCAGCTCCCAGATACCCTGCCCCAGCTTATTTGGAAATCTGTAGCTTGCATTTTTTTTCCAAATGCTGGCAACTCTGCAAACGTATGTAACGTGCACAATGTCGGCACATGGTGTTTACAAGCTGAAGGAGAAACATCATGCAATAATTTTCTCTGACGATTGTCTCTTTGAGAAGATCTGGTGAGGGTGGGTGGCAGCACTTAACACAATGTCCCACTCCTGTTTGTTCATCCACAGCCCCCAGGAAGGTTTACTGAGTGTCTCTGCTATTATATTGGAGGAAGAACAAAAGAAAAGGCACAGAGGAAAGGGCCCAATCCTGCTTCTGCTGACTTCAGTGGGACAGGGATCAGGCCCACAGTGAAGGAAGAGGGGTATAAGTTAATCAAGAAAAGAAGTTAAAAATTACAAATATATATTAAAGTCATTAATGTCTTGTTTCTACTATATTCTTGTATCCATCCAGTCTGAACTAGTTTGTGCTAAATGTAACATCATAAAAACATTTTTAAAAGGTAGTTTAAAAAAACTGCCTAAGATTCAGAAAGCCATATCACCAGTGCATTAACATGCTCCAGAGCTTGTTTTATTAGTGTATGGTGGCATGTGATGATGGTGTGTTAATGGAAGAACAAAGCATCCCCTGTTGCAGTTTAGTGCCATTAACATTTCCAAAATATGTTTTTCATTAAATCTCATGTAACCTTGGAACCATCTTTACAAACTACAGAGTCATCATTCTGGTGCACTTGTGGGTATCTTTTTAGACCAGCTGTTATGTGCCTGTGGCAGGGGATGGAGGCTTGATTCAAAGCCAGCATTCAGTAGTTCAGACTTTTCTGTCTCCCACACTACAGAATGTGGGGATTTTGACACAGCTAACCAGGAGCCTAACTGAAAGGAGACAAACTCATGGCTGGGCTCCATTCAGATTTACTAAACGGACATACATCAGTTTGCTTAATAAAGCAAAGAAGAGGATGCGTAGGAGGTAGACTGAGGTCAGTGGCAGAACAGTCTAGGGACGGAACACACCGAACAATTGTCTGGAACGTTTTGTTTAGTTTGACTGGGTCTTAAGCAATTTTGAGAAGTGCGTGATGTGGAGGACATGGTAGCTGCCTGTAATATTTTATGAATATTGTTTATCTTGGGGTGTTTGATATAGTATTTGCTATCTTACTAAGGGTTAATTCAGACAGGAAAGCAGACAAACACTTCTGATAGCCACCCATCTACAGACAGCTATATTGCAATTCAGAGAGCCAACTGCTTGGAAGTCTATCCCTGATTCCCTGCTGGGCTGCGTAAATTGGCGTGACCAGGTTCAGTAAAAGGTCTGCCTCTGAAGAAGGGGTGAGAGACGAGAGGAAAAGGGGTGAATCCCAGCCCCCAGATGCTGGGTTGTCTGGATAAGTTAGGCCTACATAAGCTTTGGGTAAGAAAGATATGTGTGGAGGCTGGTTGTTGTGTTACTAACCCTTTGCTCTTGTTATGCTGTGTTCCATCTGCTGAGACTAAACAATGCTTGGTGGTTTAAAAGGCTGGTTTGGCTCATATTCACACACTAGTTACAGCTCTGAAAGAGAAGAATGGCAGGACTCAAGCCCAGTCAGGCCTGCTGAGGAGTCATAGTCAGTAAACACGGTACAGGACCCAGTTTGGCAGAATGGCAGGATACCACCCCAGAATAGATGTAAGCAAGCAGACTGTCCTCTGTACATTCAAAGACACTTTAGAAGGGTCAAAAGTTCAACCAGCCCCGAACCATCACACTTGGTTACAGCAGTGCATTCTCAACATTCAGGCAATAAAACCCCTAAGGAAGTACTTCTGCAAGTTTGGAGTTACAGAGCTGCAGTCTTAAGTGGTTTACAAAACTCCTCCCTCATGTGTGAATATAAGGGCCACATTTTGTCCCTGTGCTAATCTAGTACACTCAAACTCAACATAGGTGTGAAAACTGAAAATGTTTGGGTTTTGCCTATGTTAAAAAATTCTTACAACTGATTTGCTCAGAAGCTGTACTGCCTCCATGCTTATGAGCTGGAACTTTAAATTTGGCAGAAGGCATCATCCTGGTATCAGAGATGTACCTTTTTCTGGCTCTGTGAAAATTTGCCATCTTAAAGCCTACGAAAGTTTCCAGTAGATGTTTGACAAAAAATTCCCCAAATATTCCATTTCCACTGAGCATGCCCTGCCAGTACCAAACTAGCTGACTATGCTCCAGCCCTGGACTGAGCAGAATTTCCCTGAAGTTCCCCCGGAAAACGTATGTAAGCCTGGCTGCTGGGAGCTGCTACGGAACCAGGCAGTGGAATGGAGAGCAGAGTGACCCTCTCTGCTGTGCTCTCCATGTCACCCTCCCCCTGCTAGAGCTCAGGCAGAGTGGAGGAGAAGGAAGCAGCCTGTCTCAAATGCAGAAGAATGTAAGAGCTTCCATGCTGGGTCAGACCATGACCCAACATCCTGTCTCTGGCAGTGGCCTGTACCAGAGCTTCAGGGGGATTGCACAGAACGGAGCAATTATGGAGTAATCCACTCATGTCTTCCACTCCCATTTTTTGGTAACCAGAGGTTTAGGGTGGCCCTGAGCATGGGGCTGTATCCCTGATCATCTTGGATAATAGCCATTGATGGACCTACCCTGCATGAACCTAACCAGTTCTTTTTTTAACCCAGTTATACCTTGGCCATCACAACATCCCATGGCAAGGAGTTCCACATTAGTTGTGCATTGCGTGAAAAAGTACTTCCCCTTGTTTGTATTAAATCTGCTGGCTATTAATTTCAGTTGGTGACCCCTAGTTTTTGTACGTGTAAAAAGGTAAATAACACTTTGCTATTGACGTTTCCATACCATGCATGATTTTATAGACTTCCATCATACCGCCCTTTCGTTGTCTCTTTCCTAAACTGAACAGCCCTCATTTTTTAGTCCCTCCTCAGACTCAAGTTGTTCCATCCCCATGATTACCCTTTGCCTTTCTCTGAACCTTTTCCAGTTCCAGCATATCCTTTTTGAGATGCGGTGACCAGAACTGTACACAATATTCAAGGTATGGGCATATCCTGGATTTATATAGTGGCATTATGATTTTTTCTGTCTTATTTTTTATCCCTTTCCTTATAGTTCCTAAAATGCAGATAGTCTTTTTGACTGCTGCTATGCACAGAGAATGATCCAGGGTGACTCCAAGATCTCTTTCTTGGGTGGTAACAGCTGCTTTAGAACCCATCATTGTATAGGTATAGTTGGGATTATTTTTTCCCAGTGCGCATTACTTTGCACTTTAAATGTTGACATTCCTCTGCCATTTTGCTGCCCAGTCACCCAGGTTTGAGAGATCCCTCTGTACCGCCCAGTACAGCTCCTTAGTGACCCCACCATTCACCTCTCTCCATTGTGAAAACTGACTATTTATTTCCACCCTTTGTTTCTTATCTCTCAACCAGTTAATGATCCATGAGAGGACCTTCCCTCTTATCTCATGGCTACTTAATTTTCTTAAGAGCCTGGGGTGCAGGACCTTGTCAAAGGCTTTCTGAAAATCCAAGTACATAATACCAAGGGGATCATCCTTATCTACATGCTTGTTGACTCCTGCAGATAATTTTAACAGATTAGGGAGGCAGGGCTTTTCTTTACAAAAACTGTGTTGACTCTTCCCCAACAAGTTGTGTTTATCTGTGTCTGATAATTCTGTTGAACAGCAGATGGGGTTACAGGGACAGGGTAGGCAGATGGGTGGGATGGGGACAGGGTAGGCTGGGGGAGACTGTGGCTGGCTAAGATGGGATGCAGGCACACACACGCAAACACACACACACACACACACACACACACACACAGAGGAAAAAGCAGGTTCAGAGCTCCCTCACCTGAGCCATATATCGCTGGGGGTCCTGGGGGTCCAGGAGGGCCTGGTGGGCCGGGAGGTCCAACTATTCCATACCCTGGAGATCCAGGTAGGCCAGGTAACCCAGGGGGGCCTCTTGGCCCAACAATCGAATCCCCCTTTGGCCCCTGTCAAGGCAGGAGACTATTGTTTAAACACAAAAATAATACACATGCAGCAGCCTGAGTGAGCAATGACTTAAGAACCCTGATCTCAATAGCGAGATCCTGAAGTTAGCCTCCCAAACTCATATTTGGGTGTAATTTAGTCGGTAGTTCTGATTTTCAGAAATGCCAAGCACTCAGAAGTTCTCACTGAAGACAACAGAAAATGAAAATCTTACTATTTAGGTGCCTAAACTATGGATTTAGAGCCTAATTTTTGCAACGCTTTCTGAAAATCTTGATCCAGGTGTTTGGATCTGCTCCGAGTGTCTGATTTCCCCCCTAATGCTGTACACTATTCACCATGCACCTGAACCTCCAGTGCACAACTAAGGTCACTCCATGTTTGATATACTTAAAATGGTGTCAAGATTGTCTCATGATGCCTGTGAGAAGGTTTTAGCCCCAAGGATTCATGACTCATCCTGAGTGCCTCCCGCATTGCAACAATATCCCAGCCTTCTACCCCATTTCTCACCTTGCCCTCTCCCTTCTTTTAAAAAAAAACAGACCCTATCTACCTAGCCTCCCAATTTATGAGTGCCAGAATAGGGAACCCTGCAATTTGGCAGGGAGCTTCATGATCCCCATGTATCTTCAGCCCCTCCGATCACACCCTTCAGGCCAGCCTGCATATATGGAACGGGTCGGGGCCATGTGTCTAAAATGCCCGGTCATTGTCTGCTGCAGTTGATGTGTCACCCAGTCTCTGCTGTTCTTCAGGCAAAGCATTTCTCTGCCAGACAACAGACTGGTGCAGAGGGGGCAGTTCCCAGTAGAGTCAAGTGGGATAATTCAGGACTCACTGCAGGCAAGGGTCCTATCCTTGCACTACTTCCCAGTTGCCACAGACCTTCCTTCTTTTCTGGCACAGTCATCACAAATGGAACCTAGCAAACCCCATACATTAGCCAATTAACAGGTGCCATCCACCTGGGGATTAGCTGGTTTCCCAGGGATTAGCAAAACTGCTTCTAAAGCTGATTTTTATGGTGATTAACACAGGATAAAAAACTAGACAGATTACTAAGCAGCTGAATTTTATAGGAACTGTTCAGACTGATACATATGGGATTTTTCATTAATGTTTTTGGAGCACTGGATGTTAGTTATGTTAGAAAATGTTAGTTAACTAGATGGTAAACATTTTTCAATACGGACACTATATAATTTCTGTACTGATTATTTTGACCTTTATGAGTATATAGCCAGTAACATCATAGGTATCTTAATTTGTGTTATTGGTATTATGAATCTACTTATTGATGTAGCTAATTCAGGCAACAGAGCAAAATGTTAAATCTGTTTTTCTTGGCAACTTAATTACCACACATGATATTAAAATGTGTATATTTAACATTGTGAATAAATCCTATGTGCAAGTCATACTAATTTCATTTGTCTTTATTTTTAAACTTCTAAAATACACATAGCTATACACATTTAGGCATATGTACAGAAATATAAAATCACACATGGTATAGTGTGATTTTACAACCTAGAACGACAGCTTCCAAACAAAACACTCCCCCAGCCATCTTTCAACGAAAAACCTGAACAAACAAGTAGATCTTGCAGTGTGTAACAAAGGCTCTCTCTGACCAGCTCCAAAGCTGAAGGACTTCTGCTGGGAATGCTGCCACTGGCAGATTACTATATTTTTATTTTCTTACCCTTTATTGGTCACTGTGCCCAAAAGAGTCATTGTAAATTCATACAGTGTAATGAAAGGTTTCAGAGTAACAGCCGTGTTAGCCGTGCAAAAAGAAAAGGAGTACTTATGGCACCTTAGAGACTAACCAATTTATTTGAGCATAAGCTTTCGTGAGCTACAGCTCACTTCATCGGATGCATACTGTGGAAAATACAGAAGATGTTTTTATACACACAGACCATGAAAAAATGGGTGTTTATCACTACAAAAGGTTTTCTCTGCCCCCACCCCACTCTCCTGCTGGTAATAGCTTATCTAAAGTGATCACTCTCCTTACAATGTGTATGATAATCAAGGTGGACCATTTACAGCACAAATTCAGGTTCTCCCCTCTCCCTCAATTTCACTCAATTTCTGATCTCAAACTGACTATCCTTCAACAAAAAAACTTCAAAAACAGACTCCAAAGAGACTGCTGAATTGGAATTAATTTGCAAATTGGATACAATTAACTTAGGCTTGAATAGAGACTGGGAATGGTTGATTCATTATAAAAAGTAACCTATTTCCCCTTGTTTATTCATTTCCTCCCCCCACTGTTCCTCAGACGTTCTTGTTAAACCCTGGATTTGTGCTGGAAATGGCCCACCTTGATTATCATACACATTGTAAGGAGAGTGATCACTTTAGATAAGCTATTACCAGCAGGAGAATGGGTTTGGGGGTTGAGTATGTCTTACATACAGTGCTCCTCTTAATATACCTAGAATATTAACCTTTTCTGTAACTGCATCATATTGTTGACTCATATTCAGCCTGTGATCCACTATAACCCTAAGATCCTTTTCAGCAGTACTACCACCGAGCCAATTATTCCTCATTTTGTAGTTGTGCACTGGATGTTTCCTTCCTAAGTGGAGTACTTTGCACTGTCTTTTTTTAAAATGTCATCTTGTTGAAGTCAGATCAATTCTCCAATTTAGCAAGGTCATTTTGAATTCTAATCCTATCCACCAAAGTGCTTGCAACCCCTTCCAGCTTGGTGTTATCCACAAATTTTATAAACATACTCTCCACTCCATTATCCAAGTTATTAATGAAAATATTGAATAGTACTGGACTCAGGACGGACTCCTGTGGGATCCCATTAGACAGGCCCTCCCAGGTTGACAGTGGACTATTGATAATTACTCTGAGTACATTCTTTCAACTAGTCGTGCACCCATCTTATAGTAATTTCATGTAGACCACATTTCCCTTGTTTGTTTTTTGTGTTTATTTAGTTCTTACTGGAATGAGAAAATGCCCAAGTACATTTCTATTGCAAGAGAGACCACACCACTTACAACTAGTCCTGGTCTTCCAGGAGGTCCAGCGGGTCCAGGAGGCCCTGACATAAAAAATCCTCCACTTGGTTCACCTTTTTCCCCTTTGAAGCCAGTTTCTCCATTGTCTCCTTTCTCACCCTTAGAAGAGAAAGCATTTAAAAAAATTAAGTTGAAACAGGATTGGAACCAGACATTGATCCCGTAAATTTACACTAAAAATCTCAATACAGGATACAGTGATCTTAAAATCTGCTTTTTGATATCACTCCCTTCCCCAATGACATATAAAAGAAACAAATAATTTATTTCCCTATGCTGCCTGCAAGGGCAGGACTTCTCCCACAGAGAGAGCAGAAAATTAGGTAGGGAAAATTGTGTTTATTGTAGTTCTCCTTCTGCTATCCTCCAAAACAAGATTCCATACTGCAATTATACCTTCATCCACCAGAAAGCTTGCAGAGTAACAGCCGTGTTAGTCTGTATTCGCAAAAAGAAAAGGAGTACTTGTGGCACCTTAGAGACTAACCAATTTATTTGAGCAGAAGCTTTCGTGAGCTACAGCTCACTTCATCGGATGCATCCGATGAAGTGAGCTGTAGCTCACGAAAGCTTATGCTCTATAAATTGGTTAGTCTCTAAGGTGCCACAAGTACTCCTTTTCTTTTCACCAGAAAGCTGGAGGCAAAAGTCACAGGAGGTGCAAAGAGCCGGGCTCCACCCCCTTTCCTTCGGTCCCTGAAAAAGCAGACTACAGATGTCACAAAAACAGAGCTGATATTTAAAGATGTGTAGGAAAGCAAGGATTACTGTAGATGGGTAGAGAGAAAGTGAAGGAGGTAGGATGGGAGAAAAGATGACACACAAAATATTGGCACGTGATTTTCTCTTGTACTTCTCTTCTCCCATCCTACAGAGAATATCATCAGTGAGTCCGAGAGAAGGAATCAGAAGAGGAGCCTTGAAATACAGAGTTGTTGTTCTCCCTGGCCTGCTGCATAAGAACCACATCAACAGAAGTTCCAGTCTCTCATTATTTTCTTTCTGTAGTTCTGTAAGATGCTTGTTTTCTCTCTACCCTCCTCTTGGTCTTCTTTATTTCTTCCTTCTGAGAAACAAGATTGTAAATAGAAGCAGCAGAAGACTGAGCAAGAATTACTCAATCCCAGGACAGGTGGCAAAACAGACTCAAGAAGAGGGGTGAGGAGCCTGGTTCTGTATAGCTTTTGTGATTGACAGATTTTCCCTCTTGCTTCCTGGTAAATAGAGTTGTAAAGCTTGCTGTATGGCATCTCATTTTGTAGATGGGGGGACAAATGCCAAAACAGCACTTTATAGATGAAAGCATCTGTTTAAGGTGGAGATATTATTCTGTTAAATCAAATAAACCACATCCTATCCAAGGGGAAAATTTCTCTCTTTGAGTTGATGCAGGCTACACATTACACCAACAAAAATATAAATGGTTGAGCAGGAAGAAAATCTGATAAACAATCTTTCAAGGGGTTTGGTTATACCATTACATAACATTTTGATTTAATATCTTCTGGAGATATCACTATGCAATATTCTGTTTACATTACACTAGAAATCTTATTTTGATACAAGACAGGATATAATAGCTCTAATTCAGTTAGAGCAAAATAAAAGCATTTAAAATTAATATTCCATTCATATTCAATTCCAACACTTAAAGTAATCCATAGTGGGAGGACAGATGACTTCTGAAACAGGGCTGTCTGGGTCAGATGGTTTTCCTTAATTAGCCATTTTGGAGAACAAATAAAGGGAGACAGAACTATTGGCTCCCAACAGATCCTTTATTTCATTAAGTCTGTAAAATGATTTGTACTGGCTCCATCCCCTTTCCTGCAGTCACTGAAAAAGAAGACTTCAAATTTCACAAAAGTAGAGCAGATATTTGAAGGTGTGTAGAAGAGCAAGGTTACTGCCTATGGGGGGAGAGAAAGGGAAGGAGGCAGGATGGAAGAAGAGACAACACAGAATTATCAGCATTGACTTTTCCTAGTACTTCTCCTATCCCACAGAGAAAACCGTCAGCTAGTCTGGGAGAAGGAATAACGGGAAGTCTGTACAAAAACTGATTGTTCATGTATTAAATGTAGCTAAATTTGCTCCAACAGTCTTTTTGAAAGCAAAAGTTCTCTCACTCCATTGTTGGTATGAAAGAGTTTGAGAAATATAGAGGAGATTTAAAGTAGATAATGACAAAGTATGATTCATTTTAATACAATTTGTGAAAAGAAAATACTAAGTAGTAAAACCTAGATAATATTTTGTATGTTAGTAATGTCCTTTGTTTACATATAGTATATTATATAGTATATGATAACTTGTTTATTCACCTATTAATCTGAATAATTGCATAATACATCAATTTGTAATTTCTGGTATAAATCAATTATTGTGTGTATTCCACCTTATATGTTAATATTTGTCTTATATTTAATGCATGTTAAAATATAGGGTTAAAAGTTCCGTTCAGCCTTAAGATACAAATGGGAAGTAATTACCTTCATGCTATTAACAAAGTGGTTGAAATATGGTGAAGGCAGAGGAGGACCTGAAAAATCAAATACATTATTTTAGTGCAAAAATCATCTGTACTTTCCATTTAGATGGGCTAAATTATCCATAATTTCCATTTTAGAAGGCCATTATCTGTATTATTCTAGAAGTTTAAAATATAACTCTTCTACATAATCATCTTGACCTTTTTAATGCGGCAAACATTTGTTTCCTCTCTGTTTTACTGTAGCAAAAGCCAACATATGGTCTGTATGCCAGCATCTTTGATGGGCTGGTGTCAGTGGGATTGTGTTTATGCTCTGGTGATGGTTAGATAACCTGGGGCTACAGAGTCAGTATTTTGTTTTTCATGCTCTCGCTCTGCTGTTTTTGTGTAGGTTTGAGAAATAACTTTTTTTTACAGTGCTCAACAGCAACATGATGGACTTGTCTCAAAGAGATACTTAGAATTCCCTGATGTATTGTAATCAGTTTAAATTAGGGCTAACAGTTTAGAAGATTAATTGAATTCAAACAAATTGCAGTGAAGTGTATTCAATCAAATCCTAATGGAAAATATGGCACCATCTAGTTATTCATTCATAAATTAAAATATACTGCACTTCAAAAACGCAGTAAAAGTACCTCTCCGGATCTCTTTTGAGAAAAGGCTTAATAACTACTCGTGTGAGGGAAGCTGGCACCTTGTTTTCCAATGAGGAAGCACTAATGTTCTCTGCTAAACATACACTGAATACAAAATCAATACTCTGCTTGATTTTAACACCCAGGGGACCGACACAAAGTCCACTGAAGTAAATTGAAAGGCTCCCATAGACTTCTGTGGGCTTTGGATCAGGCACGATGAGAGCTATTGGGTTCCACAGCACATCTGGAATTTCAGTGAGACAAAGTCAAATTCATTCATGTATCAGAGGGGTAGCTGTGTTAGTCTGTATACACAAAAATAATGAGGAGTCCAGTGGCACCTTAAAGACTAACAGATTTATTTGGGCATAAACTTTCGTGGGTAAAAGACCCACTGTGATATTGCACCCCATAATGCTTTATGGAAATATGCTTATGAATGTATAATGATGTAACTAGAATATGTTTTATGCTACATATGCCGTGTAACATATCTCTGCAAAGATTATGATCTATTGAATATATTCATCCTATTTTTATGCACGTGTCATTTTTGTATTCAAAGTTATGAATATTGGCTGTGTACTTGTTTGAGTTTAAGTAGCCTTCATAAAGCAAAAAGAAAAGGAGTACTTGTGGCACCTTAGAGACTAACCAATTTATTTGAGCATGAGCTTTCGTGAGCTACAGCTCACTTCATCAGATGCATACCGTGGAAACTGCAGCAGACTTTATATATACACAGAGAATATGAAACAATACCTCCTCCCACCCCACTGTCCTGCTGGTAATAGCTTATCTAAAGTGATCATCAGGTGGGCCATTTCCAGCACAAATCCAGGTTTTCTCACCCTCCACCCCCCCACACAAATTCACTCTCCTGCTGGTGCTAGCCCATCCAAAGTGACAACTCTTTACATAATCAAGTCGGGCTATTTCCTGCATAAATCCAGGTTTTCTCACATCCCCCCCACCCCCATACACACACAAACTCACTCTCCTGCTGGTAATAGCTCATCTAAACTGACCACTCTCCAAGTTTAAATCCAAGTTAAACCAGAACATCTGGGGGGGGGTAGGAAAAAACCAGAGGAAACAGGCTACCTTGCATAATGACTTAGCCACTCCCAGTCTCTATTTAAGCCTAAATTAATAGTATCCAATTTGCAAATGAATTCCAATTCAGCAGTTTCTCGCTGGAGTCTGGATTTGAAGTTTTTTTGTTTTAAGATAGCGACCTTCATGTCTGTGATTGCGTGACCAGAGAGATTGAAGTGTTCTCCGACTGGTTTATGAATGTTATAATTCTTGACATCTGATTTGTGTCCATTTATTCTTTTACGTAGAGACTGTCCAGTTTGACCAATGTACATGGCAGAGGGGCATTGCTGGCACATGATGGCATATATCACATTGGTAGATGTGCAGGTGAATGAGCCTCTGATAGTGTGGCTGATGTTATTAGGCCCTGTGATGGTGTCCCCTGAATAGATATGTGGGCACAATTGGCAACGGGCTTTGTTGCAAGGATAAGTTCCTGGGTTAGTGGTTCTGTTGTGTGGTATGTGGTTGTTGGTGAGTATTTGCTTCAGGTTGCGGGGCTGTCTATAGGCAAGGACTGGCCTGTCTCCCAAGACTTGTGAGAGTGTTGGGTCATCCTTTAGGATAGGTTGTAGATCCTTAATAATGCGTTGGAGGGGTTTTAGTTGGGGGCTGAAGGTGACCGCTAGTGGCGTTCTGTTATTTTCTTTGTTAGGCCTGTCCTGTAGTAGGTAGCTTCTGGGAACTCTTCTGGCTCTATCGATCTGTTTCTTTACTTCTGCAGGTGGGTATTGTAGTTGTAAGAAAGCTTGACAGAGATCTTGTAGGTGTTTGTCTCTGTCTGAGGGGTTGGAGCAAATGCGGTTGTATCGCAGAGCTTGGCTGTAGACGATGGATCGTGTGGTGTGGTCAGGGTGAAAGCTGGAGGCATGCAGGTAGGAATAGCGGTCAGTAGGTTTCCGGTATAGGGTGGTGTTTATGTGGCCATTGTTTATTAGCACTGTAGTGTCCAGGAAGTGGATCTCTTGTGTGGACTGGACCAGGCTGAGGTTGGTGGTGGGATGGAAATTGTTGAAATCATGGTGGAATTCCTCAAGGGCTTCTTTTCCATGGGTCCAGATGATGAAGATGTCATCAATATAGCGCAAGTAGAGTAGGGGCTTTAGGGGACGAGAGCTGAGGAAGCGTTGTTCTAAATCAGCCATAAAAATGTTGGCATACTGTGGGGCCATGCGGGTACCCATAGCAGTGCCGCTGATCTGAAGGTATACATTGTCCCCAAATGTGAAATAGTTATGGGTAAGGACAAAGTCACAAAGTTCAGCCACCAGGTTAGCCGTGACATTATCAGGGATAGTGTTCTTGACGGCTTGTAGTCCATCTTTGTGAGGAATGTTGGTGTAGAGGGCTTCTACATCCATAGTAGCCAGGATGGTGTTATCAGGAAGATCACCGATGGATTGAAGTTTCCTCAGGAAGTCAGTGGTGTCTCGAAGGTAGCTGGGAGTGCTGGTAGCGTAGGGCCTGAGGAGGGAGTCTACATAGCCAGACAATCCTGCTGTCAGGGTGCCAATGCCTGAGATGATGGGGCACCCAGGATTTCCAGGTTTATGGATCTTGGGTAGTAGATAGAATATCCCAGGTCGGGGTTCCAGGGGTGTGTCTGTGCGGATTTGATCTAGTGCTTTTTCAGGAAGTTTCTTGAGCAAATGCTGTAGTTGCTTTTGGTAACTCTCAGTGGGATCATAGGGTAATGGCTTGTAGAAACTCGTGTTGGAGAGCTGCCGAGCAGCCTCTTGTTCATATTCCGACCTATTCATGATGACAACAGCACCTCCTTTGTCAGCCTTTTTGATTATGATGTCAGAGTTGTTTCTGAGGCTGTGGATGGCATTGGGCATTGCGTTCCGCATGGCTGAGGTTATGGGGCAAGTGATGCTGCTTTTCCACAATTTCAGCCCTTGCACGTCGGCGGAAGCACTCTATGTAGAAGTCCAGTCTGCTGTTTCGACCTTCAGGAGGAGTCCATCTAGAATCCCTCTTTCTGTAGTGTTGGTAGGGAGACTTCTGTGGATTAGTATGTTGTTCAGAGGTATTTTGGAAATATTCCTTGAGTCGGAGACGTCGAAAATAGGATTCTAGGTCACCACAGAACTGTATCATGTTCGTGGGGGTGGAGGGGCAGAAGGAGAGGCCCCGAGATAGAACAGCTGCTTCTGCTGGGCTGAGAGTATAGTTGGATAGGTTAACAATATTGCTAGGTGGGTTGAGGGAACCATTGCTGTGGCCCCTTGTAGCATGTAGTAGTTTAGAAAGTTTAGTGTCCTTTTTCTTTTGTAGAGAAGCAAAGTGTGCGTTGTAAATGGCTTGTCTAGTTTTAGTAAAATCCAGCCACGAGGAAGTTTGTGTGGAAGGTTGGTTTTTTATGAGAGTATCCATTTTTGAGAGCTCATTCTTAATCTTTCCCTGTTTGCTGTAGAGGATCTTGATCAGGTGATTCCGCAGTTTCTTTGAGAGCGTGTGGCACAAGCTGTCAGCATAGTCTGTGTGGTATGTAGATTGTAATGGATTTTTTACCTTCAGTCCTTTTGGTACGATGTCCATCTGTTTGCATTTGGAAAGGAAGATGATGTCTGTCTGTATCTGTACAAGTTTTTTCATGCAGTTGATAGATTTCCACTCCATACGGCTAAATGCAGTGCCTTGCATAATGACAGGTTTCTGAGTAACAGCCGTGTTAGTCTGTATTCGCAAAAAGAAAAGGAGTACTTGTGGCACCTTAGAGACTAACCAATTTATTTGAGCATGAGCTTTCGTGAGCTACAGCTCACTTCATCAGATGCATACCGTGGAAACTGCAGCAGACTTTATATATACACAGAGAATATGAAACAATACCTCCTCCCACCCCACTGTCCTGCTGGTAATAGCTTATCTAAAGTGATCATCAGGTGGGCCATTTCCAGCACAAATCCAGGTTTTCTCACCCTCCACCCCCCCACACAAATTCACTCTCCTGCTGGTGCTAGCCCATCCAAAGTGACAACTCTTTACATAATCAAGTCGGGCTATTTCCTGCATAAATCCAGGTTTTCTCACATCCCCCCCACCCCCATACACACACAAACTCACTCTCCTGCTGGTAATAGCTCATCTAAACTGACCACTCTCCAAGTTTAAATCCAAGTTAAACCAGAACATCTGGGGGGGGGGTAGGAAAAAACCAGAGGAAACAGGCTACCTTGCATAATGACTTAGCCACTCCCAGTCTCTATTTAAGCCTAAATTAATAGTATCCAATTTGCAAATGAATTCCAATTCAGCAGTTTCTCGCTGGAGTCTGGATTTGAAGTTTTTTTGTTTTAA